CGACTCCGTCAACAAGAAGATGAAAACGGGATCAATAGAGGTTGCGGCAGAGAGTGTTCAGGTGTTGAATGCTGTGAGGTCAAAGTTGCCATTTTTAGTGACTACTGTAGATGATGCTATGGATTCTGTTAAGGAGGAGATACGTCTAAGGTAATCTCACACTTCTCACTGTTACTCTTTAGTGGAAATGACTTGAATTTTCTTTCTTTATGTTTTTTTCGTCAATAATTTCATACATGGTATTTGTTGGAGCTGTGTTAATTGAAATTACTTAGATACATGTCGATAGATACCGGTGCCTTGATCTACGCCGTCAACAAATGCATTCAAACATGATGTTGCGGCATAAAGTTGTGAAATTGATTCGGAGACATCTCGAGGATGTACATGGTTTTGTAGAGGTACCATCTCGGGACTTGTTGATTTTTAAAGTCGTTATGTATTACATTTCCATACTCATTATTTACCTTTTTTTTGTTGGGTTTCAGAAACAAAGATAGAAAAGTTAAGTTTTGTTTTGATTCTGATTTTTGCTCGTGGTTATAAGGTAGATTGAGACTCCAATACTTGCTAGATCTACACCGGAAGGTGCCCGAGATTATTTAGTGCCCTCAAGAGTTCAGGTACCTTACAGTTATTTAGCTGGCACTCACTTCAATTATTATTATTTTTTTGATGAATCACTCACTTAGTCTGGTCTTCCATACACTACTCTGAAAGCCTGTGAATCCCCCACTTACATTGGATATTAAGTTTACTTTGCTGGTTACTTCCATTTATCTTGGCTTAGGGAGCTTATTTGCTCTAATGTGTAATTTGAAGCCAGGAACATTTTATGCTTTGCCTCAAAGTCCACAACTGTTCAAGCAAATGTTAATGGTTTCTGGTTTTGATAGGTACTATCAAATAGCAAGGTAAATATATTGCTGTCTTTCTGTCTCGTTCTTTTCATGGTAGATTTTCTGCTTTCCTTCAATAAGCCTTTTACTTCACATGACCATTTTCCTTAGATGTTATGATAATAAATCAAAGAGTATGATCGTTATGCAGACTTTCAACCAAAATTGGAAAAGTCCAACTTTGCGTTTCTTTTTGCAGGTGCTTTCGGGATGAAGATCTAAGAGCTGATAGACAACCTGAATTCACACAGCTTGATATGGAGCTTGCTTTCACTCCTTTGGAGGAGATGCTGAAGCTTAATGAAGATTTGATTAGAAAGGTTAGTTATTAGTTGGCTCCTATTAATCAAAGAGAGAGGGAAAGGAGTGAGAAAACTTAGCCTTTGAAATATGACATCTCTTTAACATCCATCTGCACAGTACTGGGCAATTAGAAATCTATCTGTGCTTTTTGCAGGTTTTTCTAGAGATCAAAGGTGTACATCTCCCAAACCCTTTTCCTAGGTTTACGTATGCTGAAGCAATGAGTCAATACGGTTCAGACAGGCCAGATATTAGATTTGATCTTGAGTTAAAAGATGTAATCATCTTTCCCTTGACTTACATGTTTAGTATTTAATGGATTTCATATTGCAGATAATACATTATAGACATCCCTGGGTGCAGTTCACAGTCTCTTAAAATTTATACTGGATACAGTTTAATAACTTTATGTTTGCATATTTAAAAGTTGTTTTATCAACTTCAAAAGATTTATCTGGTATAGTTGAGTTTTCTTATCTTTAAGAATACTGTTCTCTTTTCTTTCTTGTGTGGATCTTTTGTAGACATAGCCAGAAATTTGAAGTATTTCTAGCGTGTATCTTGTTTAAAGATTCATGTAATAGTCAAAACGTTTGCATGTCGCATCCAAGCTTGAAGTTGTAGTTTTTCTTTTCAGCTTTCCTGATGTAGATAAAAAATATGTACCGTCCTGTCACACATAAATCATGTAATAGTCAAAACGTTTGCATGTTGCATCCAAGCTTGAAGTTGTAGTTTTTCTTTTCAGCTTTCCTGATGTAGATAAAAAATATGTACCGTCCTGTCACACATAAAATAAAGGACTAATGTTACTCCACACAGATTTGGAGTCTAGATTTATATGGAAAAACACCCAATACTTTGATAAAAGTGTTTTTCCCATAAAACCTCATGTGCCCACACTATGGGTACTGCTCTCTTTTATAGCTTACTTCTAATGACTCTTTCTTCTCCCTAAGCATATAAGTGAAACATTCAGCATTCCAATAAAACCCTTATGACCTTTTTCCTTTATGGCTTGAATATGTTTCCTTGTGCTTTTATACCTGATCAACAGTTCTTTTTTCCCCCTAATTTTTTACATGTTTGTTATGTAAAAGTTTATTTGAAATTCTTGTTAAATTGAGGTTTCCTTTATTTGAATTTCAGGTATCTGATATATTCTCAGATTCCCCCTTCAGGGTTTTTGCCGATACTTTGCAAAGTGGGGGAGTTCTCAAAGTTTTATGCGTACCTTCAGGTGCTAAAAGCTATTCAAACACGGCTCTAAAGAAGGGTGATCTTTACAATGAAGCAATCAAATCTGGAGCGAAGGGTTTGCCTTTCCTCAAGGTCTTGAATGATGGTAAGAAAGTAATTTTTATTTTAATTTGTGATGCTTAAGATATATTTCTATTGCAGTATCTCACTATTGGCGGTTTTCTACCTTTTTTTCTTAGGGGGAATTGAGGGAATTCCTGCGTTGGTATCTACTATGGATCCAACAAATACCGAGCAGTTTCTGAGTCGTTGCTCTGCCAGACCAGGTGATCTTATCTTGTTTGCAGTGGGTCATCATTCATCAGTTAATAAAACTCTAGATCGACTACGGGTCTATCTGGCACACGAGCTTG